GGGGGGGGAATGGGGTGTGAAAACCCCCCCCCCCCCCCCAAAAAAAAAGGGATCCCCGCAACCCTTGGAAGGGTGACGGGCCCACGTTGGGGCCTGCGGTCCCTCTACGGCGAGGAGGAAGAGGAGGATGACAGTGAAGAAGGCGAAGAAGAGGAGGATGAGGATGAGGATGATGGTGGCATTGGCGTGATGCCGCAGAGCCTTTGCAGCAGATGCCGGGCGGAGCGCGGAGGCCGGATCCGGCCTCCCCGGTTATCTGCGCCAAAAAAGCGACCGGGGATCTGGCCAACCTCCCCCGTGTGCCGTAACCGCGCCGCGCCGGTGATGGACCACTGCAGCTCACACCGCGGCCGGCGGTGAAGCCCCCTGAGATGCTGAGGAGCATCTGTGGGGATGTATGGGACCCACTGGTCCAGGTTTTGGGGGGGTGGGGGCTTGGGGACCCTTGGGGACCACCCCCGCCCCCCCCCAAACCCGTGACCCAGACCACGCCGGCATCAGCGGCAGCACCCATCCCGGGGGTCCACAACCCCCAGCCCAGGACCCAGTTGGGACTCTCTGCACCCAAACTTGGAGCCAGCCCCCCCCCCCCCGCCCTTCCTGCAAGAAAAAATTTGGGGGGGGGGGGCGGTGACAGGGGTTTGGGTCCTACCTCGTGGCAGTCCTGGAGGAACCGCTGCAGCTCAAGGTGGTCCTCAAGCCGCTGCATCCACTCCTTAGCCAGCTGGTAGTTGCGTTGGCTCCTGTGAATTGGGGGGGGGACCCGGCTCAGTGCTGCCCAGCTGGGGACACCCCCCCCCCCCCAGAACCCCAATTAAGCACCTAATTAACCCACCCCAGCCCCTTGCAAAACGAATTAATCCAAGGGGGAAACTGAGGCACGGGGTTGCACGTTCCCCATCAACCGTGGTGAGGATGCACCAGCAGATCCAGCTCCATCATTGTCCCTGGGGGTAGGGGGGGGTCCCGGGTGCCGCGGGGAGTCAAGGCGTTGCTGTCCGGGCACCTACTTGGCACGGAGACTCTCCATCGCCTCAGCCACGCGGTCGCTGTAGAGGTTGCCTTGACGTTGGAGGCTCTCACCAGCTTGTAGAGCCAGTTGGATCTTCTGCAGGTTGAGGTCCATGGTGGTGGTGAAGTCCTTGTGCTTCTTGATGGCGTTGCTCACCCCTTCCACCGTGTCAGGGAGCTCAGCATGGACCAGGGTGGACTCCTGGAGAACGGATGGAGCAGATGCCAGTGATGGGCTCTCTATCCCTGGTCACCTCTTCTCTTTGCACCATGCTCCCCAACTCAACCGTAAGGTCACCAAGAACTTCTCCCACCCATCTCTACCTGGTTGTAGAGGCTGGTCTCGCATTGCTGGACATCCCGGAGGAAGAGGTGGAAGACATGAGATTGCACCAGCACCTCTCTTCGTGTCTCCCAGCTCTGCAGCAGCTTGCCCCAGCCTGCATCCAGCTTCTGCAACCACTGCTGCAACGAGAGGTAGGGGACCTCCGTCTCCTCCAAGGCCAACAGATCGCTGGCCGCTTGGATCTTGGCATAGTCCTCCTCGTAGCCGTTGATCTCCTCTTTGAGGGCCACGTGTTGGTTCAACAACCTCTCCGCTTCGGCCAAGCTATCCGGCACCTCCTCGGAGGCTACGGCAGCTTGAGTCTTCACCAACCAACTGAGGAAGTTGTCCAAGTCTTGGATGAACTGTTGCAAGCGACCGGCAACGGTCAAAGAGTCCTCACAACCTTGCAGCGCCCGCTTCAGGGCCTCCCACTCCTCGCTGATCTGCTCGAAGGGCAGCAGGATCTCCAGGGCTCGCCCAGGGTGGGAGGCAGCCAAGGCTTCGCCTTCCCGTTGAAGCTCCACCAACCGAGGTTCCAAGACCACCAGAGCTGCCTCCATGGTGGAGAGGCGGCGTTGCAAGGCCAACACACCGCCCAGGTCGCCGCCTCCTGATTGCGTGGCTTCAATGGCTTTTCTCTTCTCCCGCACCTGCGCCTTCATCTCGCCGCACTCCAGCAGGTAGTTCTGGATCTTCAGGACAGAGCTGAGCTGGCTCTTCTTGTGCTCCACCAGCTCCACCACCCGATTCCACCTGGGGATGGAGGTGGGACGAGACCAGGATGGAGCCCTCCACCGGCACTGCCACCAGGATGGTATCCACCTTGGGCATCACTAACACTTGGGATGGGCTCAGGCTATTGTACTGGAGAGCTGGGCCCCATGGGGACATCCCACCAGGTTGGGAGGCCCCCAAGGTTGGGGTCTGCCAGCAGCCCCACAGCTCATTCCCCCCACCAAGGACCCCCCAAGCAGTATGGAGTCCATCTTGAGCATGACGGATCCCCAGCATGGACTTGGCCCCACAGCTTGGCCTCCCTCCCCACACCCGTACCTGCTGTTGAGGTGGTCCTGGCAGGAGCGGACCTCCTCTGAGCTGGGGTGACCCCCATCCACCAACTGCTGCACCACCTGGTTGACATCCAAGATTCGTCCCATGACGCTGTTCATCTCCTGGTCCAGGCTCTCAAACCTGGGGAGGAGAGGTGAGCGGTGGGTTCTCTGATGGGGCAAGGGACCCAGGCATCCGGTCCCGTTCCCATCCCCCCTAACACACCTATGCTGGACCACCTCAACCTCATCCAACTCCTCCGGCACCTCCATCCTCTCCAACCACTGCTCCTTCTCATCCACCCAGACCTCGCAGGCGTGCACCTCGCTGAACATACGGTAGACGGCCAAAGCGTCCTGCAACCACTGCTGCCGCAGCACGGCTACCTCAGCCACCTCCCCGTAGAGCTGCTCCACCTCCACCACCCGGATCTGCACGTCAACCCCTTGACGGTGCTCAGGTGCCAGAAGAGCCAACTGCTTCCGGAGGGCCAACACGGCCGCCCGGTGTTTCTCCACCTCTTCCACCACTGCCCGGTGCTTCCGCAGAAGAGCTTGGGTGGAATAGTCATCGTGGCCGAAGTCATCGCTGGAGACGATGCGGTAGGTGTCCTGCAACCAGGCTACCAAGTCATCTGTCTCGGCGCTGAACTGGAAGAAGTTGAGGGCCTCCTGCAACCGTTGTTGATGCAACCCCGTCACCTCCTCCAGCTTCTTCCAGCGGAGGCGAACCTCCCGGATCTTCTCCTGGATCCCACTAGGGCTGAAGCGTTTCTTGGCCAAGATCTGCTCGCCCCTCTTCATGGTCTGGTGCAACAGAGCCCGTCGGCTTCCCAGCTCACCCAACATGCTCTTGTGCTTGTTGGTCAACGTCAAGACGCTGCTCAGGTCCCGGCCACACGTCTTGGCGGCCAGGATCTGCTCCTTCTCGCGGATCCACGCCTCAGCCTCTTCCATCTCCTGGAAGAAGGCCCAAAGCTGGCGGGAGTCCTCCAGCTCCTTGCGTCTCTTGCCCGCCAGCTCCCCCAGCTCCTCCAGACACGTCTGGACATGATTGACCCGGTTGCAGATGATCTGGGGGTCGCAGGGTTGGTAGCCTGGACCAAGAGAACCAGGTCTTAGTGGAGATGGTCTACAGCACCCTGAAGACCTTGGCTGACCCCTCCCAAGGCCAAGCATCTCCCAGTCCACGTGGTGCCCATCCCGGTGCCCCATGTTACCCTCCAGCTCTGAGAACTTGAGCGCAGCGGCGTTGAGCGCCTGCACCCGGTCGGTCTGGGCAGAGATGTCGGCCTCCAGCAGCCCGTGCTTCTGCAGCAGGTCCTCAACCTCCAGAAGATGCTTCCCCAAATCCTTAGAGACCAACAGCACCTGGGGAAGGGGAACGAGGCCACGAGGTCCAGAGCTGCTCACCACATCCTCCATGGGGACGCCTGGTACCTGCCGCGTCCCTGGCTCTACCTGCATCTCCTCCATCCAGTCAATCATGTAGACCATCTCCTGGAAGATCTTCTGCAAGGCCAGGTTCTGCTCGAGGCGGGCACGACGGGCACGGACCAGCTCAGTCAACAGCCCCCACTGCCGAAGGATGTTGTCCTTTTGGGCACTGATGCGTTTGGTGTCATAGTAGCCCTCGGACTCCATCTCCAGGGCCAGCTCCACCACCACCTGGATGCGCTCTTGGTAGGAGGAGATATCGGCCTCGATGGCCTCATGCTTCTTCATAGCGGCCTCCACTGCCGGCAGGTCGTAGCCAAAGTTGTCCTGGGGTGGGGAGAGATGCCATCCGGCGGGGTGGACCACTCCTCGGTCAATGAGGGGGCTCAATGGGGCTAGCCAGGAGGTCCCACCACCCAAGTGTTGGGTTCCTCACCCCCCAACCCCAGCCAGGGAGAGGACCCAGGTGTCCTGCCCTAGGGTGAGGGTCCCCACTGAGCCCCCCCACCCCATCCCACCTGCGAGACCAAGCGTTGGTTCTCATTCAACCACGTCTCCCTCATGACAGCCTTGTGGTCGAAACGCTGGGCCAGCAGCTCTAGCTTCTCCTGCCGGATCAGCTCATTACGCAGCAACACCTCCCGCTCATGCTCTGCCTTCTCCAGGCAGGTCCAAGCCTGGGGGGTGGGACACCGGGCTCAACAAGGGGGTCCCCAGCCCTTCTCGGGGTGCCCCAGGATGGAGAGGTCACCCCCAGCCCACCAGCACCTTATTGATGTCAGAGATGCTCTTGCCCTCACTGGGGATGTAGAGCTTGCGGTTGTTGGCTCTTAGCTTGCTCTGGATGGTGAAGAGCAGGACCTCCAGGTTCCCCTTCTCCTGGAACCTGCGGGGTGGCAGGACCAGGTCAGGATACAGCCATGGTCCCGCCCCCTGCCTGTGGTTGTCCCCCCCAACCCCAGGAGGTGCTCACTTGACGGGCTTCTCCAGGGTGCAGAAGGCGGTGAAGGCTTGGAGCTGCTGCTGCACCCCAGTCAAGGAGTTGGCAAACTTCTGGTTGCTGATGATGGTGATGGTGTGCTGGATCCAGGCGAGCAGCTCGGCTGCCAGTGCCTCATACCGCTCGATGATGGCCTCGATCTCCATAGCCTGATCCAGAACCTGGTGGGAGAGTGGTGAGTCACCTGTGCAGCTCAGGGGTGCAGCCCACAGAACCCCTTCGAGCAACCATGGGTGGCTTGGGGTGCAACCTGCTTGGCCCAGCCCCTCCAGGGACCAGCATGGCCCTGTCCTTGCTGGTGCCCAGTGGAGCGAGGGATGGGACATCCCATGGACCAAAGGATGGGACATGCCATGGAGCCACAGGGTGTGGGCCAAAACCCACCTTCCCGATGCGCTTCCCCTCCACAGCCAGCGCCTTCATCTTGGAGAAGTAGTGGTAGAAGGACACCACGTAAGTAATGATGGACTTCTCATCGGGGTCCTCCATGTTGACATCTGGTGGGAGGTGAAGTGTTGGTCCCCAAGCCTGCTCGGCTCCCTGGAGTCCCCCCCTGACCACCAGTCCTGGTCCAGCAAAGCCCATCCACCAACCCCAACCTCAACCTTGAGCCCTCCCAAAAATCCTCTGAGGTGGAAAACGAAGGCGGGAGCAATTAGCCAGATGGGTGGAGACACCCCACCCCGTGTGGACGGATGGATGGACAGACCCCTGCACCGGTCCTGTCCCGTCCCTACCCTCGGGGTCCAGCAGCTTGCTGAGCCCCAACTGCTGCTCGGCCGTGTTGAAGGCTTGTTGAAGGTTGTAGGTCGCGTTGGACTTGGTCAGCTTGTGGAAGTCGATGAGGTCCGGCCTGCAAGAGGGACACAGTTGCTTTGAGCCCCCCACCCCGCAGAGGGAACCCAGGCTTCCAGATTGGCACCCCTGCCCTCCCCTACAGCAGACCTGTGCTTGTGGATGAGCGCGTTGAAGGCCAACCCATCCCTCCAACTGGTGGTGAAGTTCTGGATGTTCACCTCAGGGTAGCTGTCGGGAAAGGGTGGGGGTCACACAGTGCTGGATCCATCCCCTGTTCATGGCGGGGGGGGGGCAGGGAAGGTCCATCCCAGCACCAGGACGGCGCAAGGAGGGGGGTCACTGCTCACCCCGCCGTCTTCATCTGGCACCAGAGCAGCAGAGCATCCTTGGCTGAGCGTGTCTCCCGGTTGTCTTCAGTCTTGATTTTGATCACCTGGATCTGGGGAAAGCCAAGGGGCACTGACACACGGCTGGGTCCCAGGGTGGGGACACCATCCCCAGGGTGGGGACAGCCCCGCCCCGCTACCTGGAAGCGGAGGATGATGGTCCAGATGAGGCCGAGGGTGAGGCGGTGGTTGCCGTCCACGATGTCGTGTGAGCCCACGTTCTCCAGATGAACCCGTTGCTCCTTGAGGAACTGCAACGCCTTGTCCACATTCTCCAACGAGTGGATCCGCATCCGGCCCCGTGTTGGTTTGGGCTGCCGGAGACACCGGCACCCGTCACCCCCACCTCACCCCTACAATGGAGAAGGTCCTCCCACCCAGTTCATCACAACCTCGAGGTGGGTGGAACCTGCAGCACGCTACTCATGGAGGGTGTGGTGGTAATGGGGAGGTCCCAACTCAACCCAAGCCCGTGGCAGATGGGACCTGGGTGGTGGTGGTGATGATGGGGAGGTCCTGGCTCTCACCAGCTGCTCCCCAGAGAGCACCTCCAGCAGCCGGGTGAGGACGTAGCCATCACGGAGATCGGCGTAGAGATCCCCAATACGGCAGGAGACACGGGCGAGGTGGGAATTCACCCATTTGGTGAAAGTCTTCTTCTGCACCGCATCCCTCTCATCTACCCGGGGAAGAAACAGGTTCAACCATGGTGACGGGGGGCGGGGGGGGGCAGGATTGGACCAGGCACCTGGGGCTTTGCCGGGACGGTGAGGATGGATTTACCGGCCAAGGCTTTGATGCGGGAACACTCGAAGAGCTTGGCGGTGGCCGTGGTGTCATCCCAAACCCGTGGGTCGGGGTTCTCCCAGGGGCTGTTGTTGTTTTGCTGTTCCATGTTGTCCAGCTCGGCCGCCACGGCCGCCATCGGGCTGGGGGGGTGGAAATTGGGG